CCGAAAGCCGTCACAGAGTGCGGGAAGAGTGGTGGCAGCCCGGGGATACCCAGGAGTCCCCTTCAGAGTCTCCATCTGCCTTCTCATCCTCAGCATTCACGGTTACATAAAACCCAACATTTCTACGATTTTTCATGGCAAATCTACAGCATTATCGGTTCAGTAGTGGGGAGCCTGGGACCTTAACTGCCATTTCTATCATTGTTTCTGGGGGGAAATGCATTCCGAGTTCCAACCAATCGACTATACCCAGGAGTCCCCTTCAGAGTCTCCATCTGCCTTCTCATCCTCAGCATTCACGGTTACATAAAACCCAACATTTCTACGATTTTTCATGGCAAATCTACAGCATTATCGGTTCAGTAGTGGGGAGCCTGGGACCTTAACTGCCATTTCTATCATTGTTTCTGGGGGGAAATGCATTCCGAGTTCCAACCAATCGACTCAGACACGAACTTTTGGAACAGCCCATCCGGACCTCCTGTACCCCCTTTGGAACCTGGCCCGGTGGTTGCCCTGGGCCCTGCACATGGTGCCTTCCAGCTCACGAAGGGTTAAGGAGGTTAGGCTTGGTGGCATATAATACCCTGTCAGGCTTGTGCTGGCTGCATCCCCGGAGCTGGGAGGGGTCTGGGTAATGCAGCTGCAGGTCATTAGTGATCTCCTCACCCCTCGGTTTTTTCTCCGTGTGCCTTCCCAGTTCTGGAGAAGATCCGGAGCGCCGTGGGCAGCACCCAGCTTCTGATGTCCCAGAAGGTCCAACAGTTTTTCCGACTCTGCCAGCAGAACATGGTGAGTACCTCCTCCTTCCTCATGGGTTCCCCGGGGTGTGTCTTGTCTGACGCACATCTGGGCTGGGGCGGCAGCAGGTCCATTGCACCCTGCACAGCTGGAGATGGTTCCATATTGAGGTGCCACCCAAAGGGTAGGACGCTCACCCCCAACATGCTTAAGGCTGGCTCCCAGGTTCGGTGGGCTCTTTCTCGTGGTGATTTGGTTATTTCATCGCTAGCAGGACGCAACAGCTGCATCAGTATTTCAATGAAACAGTAATAACAATTCCCAGCCTTCTCCCACATCAGGGGCTGCTTCAGGCTCAGGGCGAAAGGCCCAGCCTGGTTCTTACTTCACCTGAAACATTTTGTCCCAGCCCTGCTAAGAGAGACATTTTTAATCCAGTCAGGGCTAGACAGCCCAGCTCCGCTCCCCGTCAACTCGAGCAGGGAGGTGAGAGTATATAAGGACCTAATCTGTCTGTCTTCTCCCCCTTCCGAAGGACCCTAATGCATTCCCCATGCCCACCTTTCAAGACCTGGCTGGATTCTGGGACCTCCTTCAGTTGTCCATCGAGGACGTCAGCTTGAAGTTTGCGGAGCTTCAACAGCTCAAGGCCAATGGGTGGAAACTCATTGAGCCCAAGGTAAGGGGATCAGAGCGTGAGTGCTGAGAGGCTGAGAAGGAGTAAGGGCAGCTGGGGTCTCACTCCACAGGACACAAAGGCAGGTTTTGTTGGTCTCTCGCTGAAGGACAAAGACGGCGTATGTCATAATGCCACTGTGTGAATCCAAGGTTCACTCACACCTTGGATACCGTCTCCAGATCTGGACGCCCCATCGCAAAAAGCCCTGGGTGGAACTGGAAAAGGGTCAGAGAAGGGCAACAAAGATGATCAGGGATGTAAAATGGCTTCCTTATGTGGGGAGACCATAGGGCCCTTCCGCTTAGAAAAGAGACAACTAAGTGGGGAGAGGCTAGAGGTCTAAAAAAATCACAAACAGCATGTAAAATGTGAGTAGAGAAGAGTTTGATTCCTTCACACCACACAAAAATCTGAGCTTACCTGATGAAATTAACAGGCAGCAGGTTTTTCACATGATGCACAATTAACCAGTGGAACTCATTGCCAGGGGATGTTGTGACGGTCAAAAGTGTAACTAGATTCAAAAAAGAATTGGGGAAGTTCATGGAGGATCAGTCCATCAATGGCTCTTAGCCAAGATGGTCAGGGATGCAGCCCCATACTTTGGATTCCCCTACACCTCTGACTGCCAGATTCCGGGGTGGATCACTTCTTAGTTGCCCTGTTCTGCACACTCCTCCTTAACCTCTGCTGTGGGCCTCTGTTGGAGACTGGCAGGGTGGACCGTGGTCTGACTAGGTGTGGCAGCTCTTATGTTGTTACACGTGGGGCATTGTTAGCAGGTGCATTCCTGGCTTGGCAGAAGAATAGAGGGTTTGTTGGGGGGAGGGGGCGCAGGTGCAAAATCGGATCTCGTGTGTACAGTAATTCCTCATTTAACACGTGCCCGCTTAACACATTTTCACGCTAGCACAATTTTTTTAGGGAATATTTTTTGAATTACACGACCGTCCCTGGAATAACACGATTTCCCCAGCTGGCCCATTGCCGGTGGCTGCGCGGGGCTTCCCCTGCCTCCCTGCAAAGTGGTGGAGGGTTCGCCGGTCGCTGTGCCGTTCCCCGGTGACCCCTCCTCACCGGTTGCAGTGTGGGTCCCGGCAGACCCGTCACAGGGGCATACTCCCAACCCAATCCCCCTCCCCTCTCCTCCCCTTCCCTTCCCCAGAGCCAAACACCTCCCCTCCCTGCTGTAACCCAGTCCCCTTTCTCCCCCAACCTTATGTCCCGGTCCCAACAGACACCCCCGCTTGAAACGCAACCCCCACCTTTTCCATTATTTTCAATGGGAAAATTGACCCCGCATAACACGTTTTCACTTAACAGGACAATTTTCTGAAACATCTCTCTAGTGGTAAATGAAGAATTACTGTATATCAGCTGTGTTCCCCATAGAAGTCATGCAGAGAAGGAACTGGCTCCCAACCCCCATGGGTAGCAAATGCAAGAGGTCTGGCTGGAGCCTGGGAAGAGCCGAAAGGAGCAGTCTGTCGCAGGGCACCCCGATTCTTGCCCAGCCCCAGGAGAAAGGGGCGTGGTCCTTCTCCTAAGTGTGTGTGTGGCTTACAGAGCGGACACCCTTCTCTCCTTGTCTTGCATATCTCATGCTCCCCTCAGCCCCCTCTTGTGGAGAGATGGGGCAGGCCAGGAAACAAAGGAACCTTGGGCCCTGCTCATCTCAGTAGAGAGTAACCTCTTCTCCCCCTACCCTGGTTTGTGGGGCCGGGGTAGGGGATGACCCGGCCTGGGCTACGGCTGCAGAGGGACAGAGAGGTGGGAGCCCTGTGATTGTGAGTGTGGCCAGGATCAGTTAGCAAAGCCCGAGCCCTTCTGTCCTGAAACCTTCCTGCAGCAGGAGCCTTTGGGGCCCGACTCTGCTCCGGGTAGGTGGAGAGTGCAAACGTCACACCCCCACCTAGCAGGGGTGTAAAAAGATGTCACACCCCCACCTAGCAGGGGTGTAAAAAGATGTCACACCCCCACCTAGCAGGGGTGTAAAAAGATGTCACACCCCCACCTAGCAGGGGTGTAAAAAGATGTCACACCCCCACCTAGCAGGGGTGTAAACAGACGTCACATCCCCACCTAGCAGGGGTGTAAACAGACGTCACATCCCCACCTAGCAGGGGTGTAAACAGTGGAGATGTAAAAACCCATTTAAAAAGCTGAGCGGTTAAACAACATAATTGTAATCATTTAAGCGGTTAACTGGGCCCACCATGCTGCAGCCAGGGGGCGGCACTTGCCCAGCTGGACCTGCCGCACCGTGCCCACCGTGGCTGGGAGGCTTCCCTGTGCCACGGCTGGAGGGCTGCTCCCGCTGGGTCTGCTGCAGCCAGGGTCTTGCTGACCAGGCCGTTGCGGGTGTGGAGTGGCTCCCCTGAGCCTGGCCCTCTGGTTAATCAGTTACCAGGTAAGCATGCCGGTGAGGTTAATGCTTACTAGGTAACTGGTTAACTGGTCGACCTTTTACATCCCTAGTAAACAGCCATGTAGACAGTGAGTCACCGCCCAGGTGAATAGAGCAGAGAGCCCTGAACCCCTCAGGGACACACCCTGTCCCACTCGTTACATGCCCAAGCAGCACCATGCACGTTTACACGGCTATTTGTAGCATTCCGTGTCCCGCTGCCTCCCTGCTGCCGGTGCCTTTCCCTGCAGTGTGCAGCTCCACAGTTAGTGCCGGTGCTGTACCTAGTGTAGATACAGCTGCAAGTGTAGATACAGCCTGAGAGAGCTAAAAGTAGTCTCTCCCTTGGCAGAGCTCAGCCTGAAGCCGCCGTTATGCATATTCCATCCTAGATTGGGTACTGTCAGTTTCAGAGGGGAAGAGTCCGGGAGGTGAGAAGTCCATGATCACAGCTGCCTTCTTTTTTCTTTTCTTTTTTTTTCTGCTCCATAGCTGGTGCTGCTGATTTGCACCAGGGAAAATCAACAGGCCTCTTTAGTGAATGCTTAAAAAAAAAAAAAAAGAATCCAAACAAACAGTCTTTTTCTCTCCTGTGTTTTTCGTGTACAGCTACGGCATGTCCTCTATTTGATGTTATCTTCAAAGGTACAGATATGCTCCTTGCACGCACACACTGAGCGTAGGACAAACCAAAGCCATTCCGGTCCTCTCACCCCCTTGCAGCGCTGCTATCCGTGACACTGACTCAAACTCTGGTGCAATGTTCCCCTGATCAAACATAATTGCAGGCAGATGCCACATTCCTGGTCCGCAATGTGCAAATGCAGCATGCAAGCAGCACGTATGCAGGCAATGGGCTAGATTCTGTGCTGACTTTCAAGCCCCAGGACTGCACTCCGCCCCTGGGACTGGTGAATTGAATGGGGGTACCAATCAGCACAGAATTTGATCCACTTATTCTGCATAGAGGTAGGTCCACGCCTGGGGATATACGCTCCCAGACACACCCGTTCCTCCCTGGAGGCAGACATATGCATAAAGCGTGGGAGGCTCGCATGTATGCAGGTGCACACGGATGTGCAAGCACACATCTGTTTATAGCGGCACATGTACATCCGGATTCTTGCACTGATGAGAGCGCGTAGGCAGGCTCCCACTCAAAAGTGTGCTCTCTTGCATGGTCTCACCCCCAGACAGCTGTGTATACACTGACAGATGTACACACCTACAGATATGTGCACACAGATGCACAAACACGCACACATGCTTGAATGTGCATGCACAAGTACACACACACACACAAATGTGCACACCCACCGTGCACTCCCTTGCATGGTCTCTCACGCAGTCACACAGCTGTGAATCCCCCCCCCCCGAGGAACACACAGACTCACATGTGCACACGCCTGGCACACGCCTCCTCAGACACACGCCCTCTAACACAAAATGTCCAACACCTCCTGGAAGCCCCTCTAAGCCCCATTCTGTCTGTCTGTCTGAGCAGGAAGAGAAGAAGGTCCCTCCTCCGATACCAAAGAAGCCACCACGCTCCAAAGTGCACCCCGTGAAAGAACGCTCCCTGGACTCCGTCGACCGGCAGAGGCAGGAAGCCCGGAAGAGGCTCCTGGCGGCCAAGAGAGCAGCCTCCTTCCGTCAGAACTCAGCCACCGAGAGTGCAGACAGTATCGAGATCTACATCCCTGAGGCCCAGACCCGGCTGTGAAGGGAGCCCCGGCTTTTCTACCTGTACTGGACAGAGGGAGTGCACAGCTCACTGTGATGGCCAGGGCCTGAGCCGCAGGGGCAGCTCTGGGCCCACTCACAGCTTCTCGACTTTTTATCGTCTCGTGATTCATGGATCCGACGGTGAATGAACGCAAGCTTGGTTCTGTCCTGCCCTCCTGCCCCTCCCTGCGGGGCCGGCTCCCCCGGGCCCCGATCCTGCCTGCCCACAAACCCCTTTCCTGGCCTTTCCCCGGCCCTCTCCATGAGCCCCCTCTCCGCCCTGAACCCTCTTCTGCCCTCCATCTCCGCTCCTCCGTCTCCTCTTCCTGGCCCATCTCCCCTGCCCTGCACACTCCCGTGCCCTCCCTTCCGAGCTCTTCTTACCTTTCTCCCTGCAGCTCCCTCTCCTCTATGTCTCCCCCTCTCCTCTCCTCACACCCTCCTCTTCTTCCACTTCCCCCCTTCCCCCTCCGCACAGCTGATTGCAGTGGGGGTGGAGGCAGGTCCCCCTTACCCTCCCGTGTGTCCTCTCCCCATTTCCTCAGATCAATGCAAACAAAGCGTCTTTCAGGGGAAGCGCCGCCGAGCTCCTTCCAGCGGGGGAGCCTGTGCCAAAGCCACCATTCCCAGCAGCCCGGCGGGCCGGCTTCCCTTGCTGGCATGAGGCTTCGGGCCATGGCAGGCACGAGGGGCGGTCTCTCCATGCACCCCAGCCATGGTTCGCTCTCACCCCTGCCTCTGGCCTGGGCACCTCGGGGAATCCAGGGTCATAGACCTCTATACATATATACATATAATCGAAGGAATAAAACAAAAACTACACATGACCACAGCTGTGTTCCTGCTGGTGAGACTGGGATATCAGATCATCAGGAATTCCGTGGCAGCAGCAAAACCAGTCCCTGCTTTCCCTTCATGTACATCGCCAGTAAGAATCTGCTATGATTTCTCTTCTCTCTTCCTTCCTTTCCCTTCCTGCAAGCATGACTCGCGGGACGGCGCGGGGGTGCGCCCGCTAGCCACGGAAGGTCAAAACTTGGTGGGTCACTTTATTTTCCATCCCTCTTCGATTTCTCCACCAGCGGCTGGTCTGACTAGATTATCCTGGGAGTGAAATTCGAGGGTGGTGGGGAGTGGTGGGGGGAACAAGTGTCTTGGGAGAGCTTCGTAATCCTGTTGGGAAGCAGGGTTTGGATTCTGTCTGGCAAGGGCTGGCAGAAGCCGAGGTCGTTGGGGTCGGTTTTGGGTTGAGTTTCCCTCACTGCTTCCTCCCTCCCGCTAAAAGGACAAGCCTGATCTTTCGAGCAACCAGTGCAGAAGGCCAAGTGCAGGGCACTGGTTCTGACCCATCTGCATCTGGTTGAAAGGTACAGCTGTACCCCGGGGGCCAGGCTGGAGGAGACAGCGGGGAATGACAACCCACCTTGCTGTAGGAGGAAGAGGACTCGCCCCTCCTAGGGTGTTACTGTGCTGGCTCCGTGCATTGTATGTGCTATTAAGGAAGGCGAGAAAACCCGTGTAGCAGTTACCCCTGCAGATGGCGATCCGGCCCTAGCTTGGGTGAGGGCGCGTGTAAAGCGCTGGGCTGTCCGAATGTCGCAGGGATGCGGGGGCCAACTGCGGGGTGAAAAGCAGGGCCGGCGTGACTCGCCACCTCTGTTCTGTGCAATGATCGAGTTTCAGGGCTTTCAACCCCAGGGTCACCAACCCCTGGGACGGGGGTCTCAGCTAGGAGGGAGCGGGTTCTGGTATGGAAAATCTGGGGGATGCCTGTGCATGAGCAGCCGTGCCAAAGATCGCACTGCACTCCCCGTGCATTGAAGCGGGAGGTTCGATTCCAGCCAGGCTGTGATGGGGCTGGCCATGCCGGTCCTGGCTGTCCAGCCTGTAAAGAAGCCCTTCCCAGACTGCAAAAGAACGGGAGCAGTAGGCATTCAGGACTGAGCTGCGCCAACCCCAGGGAAGCCCACAGTCATCTTGTCCTCCTCCCCCACCACAAACGCTCCCCAGCTCCTCTCCCTGCCCTGCAGCTCCCAGGGGCCTGCCAGCTTGGCCAAAGCCTCCCTTTATTCCTGCCACCCAGCCCACACTGTCTCCCGGCCCGGGGACTCACCTGGGTTCACAGACGCCAAGCCAGGGCCCCTCCATTGCAGCCCGGTGCCTTACAGAGCAGAGCAGAGAAAGAAAATCCAGGGGGAAGCATGCAGGGCCAAGACCCAGAGGCCTCACTAGATTCAGCCTGACTAAGGACTGGGGCAGACCAGCATATTAGCCTTCAGTCTCTATCTGGCCTATAGCGCCCAGGGACAGCAGCTCCCGGTCACCGCGTTCCAGGAATCACCCTCCTTTGTCAGTCTCTGTCGCACTCGCCTGCTGGGAAAGCAAAGCCCTGGAAGGGAAGGAAGGGCAAATGGAAGGTTGCCGTGGTGATGGCGGTGGTGGGGTTTCTGGCTCCTGGCTCGGGGCCTGCCAGTCGTCACCCTGAGCCTCATGCAGCCCGTTACAGCACAGCGAGCGTGGAACGTGGCTGTTCTCATGCGGTGGTGCTCCAACCCTGGTGGAAGAGATGGGCCGGGGGGGGGGGGGGGTGATGGAGGATCAGACTGCTCTGTTCAGACCACGGCAGTGACAGTAACAGCTGCACCGGCTCCTGCCTGCCGGCCTCCCTGCTCTCCTCAGCAGAGGGGGAAACAGAGGCACAGGGAACCCCGTGGCATAACTAAAGCTCCCAGCTCTTCCTCTCAGCAGAGACAGACCCCAGACATGAGTGTGGGTCTGCCCTTCCCCCAGCTGAATTCCTGCTCTCGGAGGTGCGGGTGGGAGGGGCAGATGAGCGATTGCATTACAAGAGCCCCCTCCTCTATGGCAGGAAGGACCTTTCATCCTTCACAATACAGCATGCACAGTGCCCTGTCTGAGCCGTCCTTGGGCAGACACCGCATAGGGCATCCAAAAATCTGGGGCCCCACCGGGACAGCAGGTAAGAGCGGGGCAGCTTCTCCACACCCAGCACGCTGCCATCTCCTTAGGCAGGGACCGTATTCCCAGGGCCGGATGTGCTGGCATGGCACATTCTGTGTGAGGGAGAAGGTACGGTACGGGGGGGTCTCTGTGGGGAACTGTCTGTCTGCGGCCATGAGGCGGGCCAGCTGGCTCAGTATCCTGTCCTGCCACATCCCCCCTCCCCCTGTTGGGCCGCCACAGGGTCTGCTACGTACAGAGCTCGGGGTGTGTCAACAATGCCGGGGAGGGGTTCTTCTGGGGGCCCCAGTTTAACAATACTGTCTGGGGCCCCATAAATCTGAAGGGCTGTGGTCGTGGGGAATGCCCTCAGACTCATGCTCTGTTAGAGGGAGGTGCCCTCTCTTCCCCCTTCTTCCCCCCAAAGCACAGTCGGTTCTATCTGCCCTGAGGCCCGTAAGGCTGGGGAGGAGAGAGTTCTCCCACGCGGCTTGGGGTCCTGCCCTGGGAAAACGGGTAGGCCAGACTCACTGCCCTGTAGGGTCAAGGAAAAAACTCAGTGCTGCCTTCTCACATTGCCCCTCCTTTGCAACCGGGGAGCCCCCTGCACTGTGAAACCCTTCCAGGGGGGACCCTCTTTTCTTGCCACCCCATGATTGTACCAGCTCTTGCTCCCTGCCCCCTCAGCCATCTCAGAGAGACCCTGGTTCAGACAGGAACAGGACAGGAAAGATCCCAAGAACAGTGGCTAAAGTGGCCACAAGGGAGGGTGCAGGGACACCTGCCACAACCTAGCTGGCCAGATGGCTAGGAGAAGGAATGTTTTTTATGAGCATACAGGGGGAGCTCCATGGTTTGAGCATTGGCCTGCTAAACCCACGGTTGTGAGCTCAGTTCTTGAGGGGGGCCATTTAGGGATCTGGGGCAAATCTGTTAGGGATGGCACTTGGTCCTGCTGTGAGGACTGGACTTGATGACCTCTCAAGATCCCTTCCAGTTCTATGAAATGGCATAACTCCATATATTATATTATACAGCACCTAGTACTGTGGAGGCCCCCATCCCAGACTGGATCCCTCAGGTGCTCCTGAATAGTTAATTTCAGGCCCGGGGGATGTCCTGCCTGGAGCAAGCTGGGATATCTCCTGGCAGCACCTGGGACAAGTAGGATGTGATGGGAGATTCCATAACCATGCTGGGTTGGGTGGGCAGAGGGAGAAAAGCTTAATTCTACCAAGAACAATGCGCCAGTCACCTGGGGTCTGTATATCCCCCCCTTTGGATGGGATGGGATGGGATCCATTGCACGACCTGGTGCTAAAACCTCCCCTGGCTTCTATTGTACACCTGTCCTGTTGGAAGGGTTTAGAAGAATCATATTATGGCCCCAGATTACTTGACTAAAAGAGATGTTTAAAGGGGGACTCCAATGAATATATCCTGGAACAGAGACTCATGAAAAAACACCCTGCGGCAAGAGACCTGGCCCAGCTGGGAGAGGCAGGAGTGTCCTTGCTCAGCATCCAGTGCTCTGAATGCTGCGGTCACTGTCCTGGCCAGGAAAGCAAGCATCAGCTCGGTTCACCCGTTCTCTGCCTCCGTCCACACTTTAGTTCTTAGCAATGTGCCTGGAAGGGGAAGCCCTTCCACTTGTAAGTTCTGTAAGACAAACAATACTGTACAGTGACCGTGACACGTGGTTTCATTTTTATTGTAACAAACTTAGCCGTATTGTAATAAAGACGATTCTTTGATTACTCGGGGTCTGGCACCATCCTCCTAGCCGGTGCTAGTCTCACCTTTGACCCTTCGTGTCCTGTGTCTCAGTTTCTTGTCTGGGGGAGGGGAGAGCGAGGGCTGGGTTCAGCTCATGATAGCAGGGACCAGCTGCTCTCCTCTGGTGGCTTGTCACGATGCTGGGGAAGATGCAGACCTGACCCGGTGTCTCCTGCATGACTCACTGTGTTGTGAGGCGGCTTGCTAGGTCTGCCAAGAGACTTTATTAGCTTGCTGGGCCCTGCATGTTACCTCGGCTGGGACTAGAAGGGGGCTTCTAACAGCCGCTGCAGGCAGCAGCTTGGCTAGTCGAGCTACAGCGAGTGCCCTTGCCTGAGTCATCCAGGAGCAGCGTCTCGGGGACCCCAGGTCAGGGCTGAGGGGCACTGGTAGAGGTGATGCTTTAGCCCAGCTCACAAGCTGCTGGGCTGGTTTCGAAGGATTGTCTCCCACCACAGGGCTACCCCCTTGGGCAAACCAGCTGGTTGTGTGTGGCCCCGAGGCTCACCCTTGGCAGCAGACACAGCTCCCGGGCCGGTGCAGGGGGGGCTCAGGAACCATTGGCAGTGACAGAGCAAGGTGAAAGGGCAGGGTGCCGTGGCTGGAGATGTCCGTGGCTGGAGTCTAAGAACTGGCCCTGGCGAGAAAGGAGGAAACGCCTCAAGCCATCCAGCAAGGGTGTACCACATCCCGGCTCCAGGCAGGCACAATCCCCCTCTGCCACGGGCCCCACCTGGATAGACAGATTCCCACCTTCCCTCGGGGTGATGCTGGGTTTGGCAGAACCTGGCACCTGTGCCTGGCAGGACGGGGGCCAGTGAGGGATGCCCATTCGGTCCCCAGCAGTACCAAGAGGACCGGCAACCCTGTCAGGGGCCCAGAGCAATGGATCTCCAGGCTTGCAACCTGGCTCTCAGCCCACTGCCTGCTGTTGAATCCCGGCGACCAGGCATTGTATGTGTGTGTGTGGGGGGGAGGCTTTTGACTGCGCCCCACAGTCCAGCTGCGCAGCCGGGTTAGGGCTCACAGAGATTTCTGCAGAGCAAACACGGATCCAAGGCCTCTGTGTGCGCCCTAGGCCGGTGACTCACGGGGTGCTGTGTGTGTGTGTGTGGGGGGGTA